CTGTTCTTATGCATACTAACAAAAACAATGATGAGGAAAAGCGTCTGAGGGGTTCAGGAAGGATGCATCCATCCGTTGCCGGTTCCCATCATCAAAGATACCCGGCTTGTACTTGGTCAAGGGTTCTGCCTTGAAGAAATCCAAGTGCTTTGCGGTCACGATGGAAGGATTCAAGTCTTCGCGCTGTGCTGCATCAATCTCATACTTTGATTGGCAGAACGCTACGACCTTTGAACCCGAGAGATTTACCTGTTCTGGTTTTTCCAATCCAAGTGATAGAGTGCTGCCTGATGGAGCCTAGCATGGGAACGAGGATGTCATCAAAAAACCAAGGCACGAGACTCTTGAAAGTAAAGGGCCAATACTCAAGAGTTTTGGCATTCTGACGCCCCCTCATATGGTTCTGCAATGCCGTGATGACCTTGGCCTCTGACCAATTCTCAATGGGACTGCCGGCGGTGTGAATCTGATTGTCTGTCCATTCCATGAACTGGTTGGCATTATTGGTTTTGGGCCCATGGTCCTGGATGAAACGATAGCCCGCATCCCTTGCACTCTGGTCTACCGTAACCTTTTTTTCAAACTTGGGCTGTATCACCCAGTTCCTAATCTGCATCCCGCCCAACTTGTCCAACATGTACGTGTGGCCGATCAAGGCTTGGCGTGTGTGCGTCCCCCATTCAAACCGCATGGGGATGCCATGGCACATCGTAATGGCTTCACTGGCGTTGATCTTGTTCCGGTGCAAATAGACATGCTTCAAAACATGCACATACTTGGAATTGGGGTCTTCACCTGCGGGAGGCGTAGAAGGAAGGATGATTATCTGCATAGTGTACAACACTTGCGGTTCCTGACGAAGACGAAAAGGTTCCGGCAAGCCTTTGTAATTGCACGTCATACACTCTTTGACAAGCTTGGACTCGAAGAAATCCGGGGTGACGTCAACTTTGGCATGTTGGATGGCATCACAAAACTGTTCTATTTTGCCCGAGATCGAGTCCAGGAAACGAACTGGTAGATCACCTACATTCAGGTCACCTGCATCACGGATGGAAGACAAGGGCCTGGTTTCAGGGCCTTTGAGTTTCAGCCCCTGACCGGTGGTGTGCATGATAGCCTCATCGAATGTAAGTGCGCCATCCTGCCCTCCAAGTTCACGAAGCAATCCTGGTATGTGTGCACCACGAAAATCCGGCATGGCGTCAGAGTTGCCAAATGATAAAACCAAGCAAAAATGTTCGAGCTTTCGTGGCAACGACATGATAGCTTGCGATCGAAGCATAAAGGACGACGATTGTATAGTTATATTTAGGTACGTGTGCATGCAAGCAAAGTTTAATGAATACTGCTCTGAACATATGCACGTGTGACTGTAACATATTCTTGTTGCAATGCACTGCAGGTGTGTTTCATCAGATGGCTCAACAATGGGATCCTTATAAACTTTGTGGAAAAAGTGCACTCCCACAGCCCCCCGGACTCACAAAAAAGTGAAGGAAGCAAATCTGTGAAGGCGTGCGAAGGACAAGCGAGCAGGTGCAAAAGATTATGGACAGCCTGTGACCTCACAGGGACGGTGTCCTTCGTGGTGCGTAGGGGGCGTTGCCCTGGCACTGGTCAGAATTGCAAAGTAGAAAGGTATGGCCCTCTCAGCGGCGCCAGTCCCGTGTGTTGGGACGATCCCACTTCCGCCAATCTTCCCAGCTCCAGTCCTCCCACTGGTCATTAGCAGCGGGGGCCTGCCAGCCGCGCTTGCGATCTCCCGTGTGTGGGTGCTGGAGAGCAGCGGTCGCGGAGAGCTTGTGCCAGCCGGACTGTGTCAGCTTCCGCCCTTTCTTCCTCCAGCATGTGGATGATTTCTTGGCGGGAGACTGTGTCAAAAGCTTGACTCAGGTCCAGTGCAAAGGTGAACCCTCCGGCGAGGCTAGGCGGGGTGATACCTTCATGACGCTCATGACGACTGGGTCTGGCTTGACTAATGGGGTGTCTGGCCTCCGGCAGGTGGGTTATGACCCTGTCCAAGGCATCCGAAAGTCCTCCCCGGTAAGTATGCAAACTGCGGGAGGTGCTTACGACTGTTCGCAATGCAAGGCGACAAGGCTTCGCGTGCCGCTCCGGCTAGGCTTTTGGCATCCGGCCTCAGGATTCCCAGTTGTCTGAGGTTGCTGGGCCGATCAAGCGGCTTGCCTGGCTTCGGTATGAGGCAAAGCTCGGCGTTCAGGAGGCCTTCATCCAAACCATCCTCCACATTGCGGTTGATAAGGTAGTGCGATAAGGCTTCCGCCACTTCGTAGCTGCAGAGCCGCCATGCTGCCGCAGGTGTTGATTCAGCAGGATCTGCCTTTCCGGTCTTGATGGATTGGATGTGTTTGTTCATGTCCGCCACAGAACATTGGGGCAGCGGCCCCCTCAGAGGCGGGAGAGGCGGATTGGAGGCGAAGACGCCCTCCGCATACTGCGGCAAAGAGATAACCATCCGTACTCTTGAACTGCGCCCTGCGCGCCGGCTGCCAAGGACAAAGTAGTTTCAAGGTCTTAAATGCCAAATACTGATTTCCGTCCGCCATCGCCTGATCGACCTCTGCCAAAAACGTGCGCACTCGAGCTTTCTGAGCTTGCTTCGCGGCTTGTTTTGGCATTGTCGGTCATTCTTTCCCCTACCCGTCTCTGCATAGCCTCTACGCTATTGTCATTGGACCGGACCGCCTGCTGCAGAGCGACCCTGTCATGAGAGACTGGCTTAATCCGCGTATGAGGCAACGCATGGCGGCTATACAAGCTCGCACAGGCAAGTGCCCACTGCTCTTCCAGCTTCCCAACTAGACGTTGGCAAGCGGGGGCGAAGCCTGTCCACCAGGTTTGTCAGATTGGCCTCGTCTGGCCTCGGGCCTGCGGCTGTGCCGTTCTGGAGCCTACATGTGTCGGAGTCGAAGATGTGTTGAAGTCTCCGGCCACTATGAGAGTGTCTCGTGTGGCACCTGCTTCACTGCCTTAGTCAAGGCAGATTGAACTCCGGCTTTGTCGCTGCGGTTGTCCTGCTGAGTCTTGAGAGACGACCACACGTGTTGATATGTGGCCATGATGGCCAGCCTGGCACCAGCCCAGTAGGCCCTGACCTCCAGCGCTCGGACCATGCGGACATCTGCATCTGTGGTGGAGGGGGCCTTACTTGGCAAACCCTCCTCCTGCTTACGGCCTCGTCTGCCAGTCCGCTCTTGTTTGAAGTGGAACTTGGGGAGCTCGCGGAAGAAACGCAGTACCATCCTGATACCACAAATTCTGAAGACTCCTTCCAGTGGGTTTCCTGTAAGATGACGATATCGCAGAGTTTGTCTGCTTCAACCGCCAACCAAATCTTGATCTCAGCCCACTGTTGCGGTCCAAGGTGCTCTCCATTCCATGATAGAACGTGCACTGGGCGGCTTTGTTGGCCAGCTCGCGTGCCCTGATGGGCAGGCGGGCAGTTGCCTGAACGACTGAGTAGCTCTCTCCACTGCGCGGAAAGTGGAAACCCTACCGCCTCCCCAGTGAGACAGTGTCTTGGACAGAGACTGGGTCCAGGAATTGGGATGTGGCGGATGCAGACCGGCTCAGCGAAAGTGGCACATGGCTCAAAAAGTGGGCCAACCCACCTTACGGTTAAGAAGAGAGGCCTGGTAAGGACCTCTAGAGAGCTGGAGCCCAAAGCCCGTTCGAAAGCCACGCAAGCTACCCTGCCAATCTGATCCGTGGCGGCTACCACAACAACAACAACAACCACAACCACAACCACAACCACAACCCCAACCACAACCACAACCACAACCACAACCACAACCCCAACCCCAACCACAACCACAACCACAACCACAACCACAACCACAACCACCACCACCACCACCACCACCTCGATGCACAATCAGAAGGACCACGCAAAAACACATACACAGGTTGAAATGTCGCCAGGTGTCGAAGATGGAGAAGCACGTCGTGACAACGAACACGGGAACCTCTTTGATCTTGCGCACCTTCGCTTTGGAGACTGGAAGCACATATTGACGTGTTGGTTGCAGCAGCACAGTCACCATCAATCTTGCAGGCGGTCCAATCTGCGCAACGCTTAGACTCTGCAGGTGCTGCGATGGCAACATGTGCGCACTCTGAAGCCCGCGGCCTCCCCGGCTGGGATAGCACAAATGCAAACGGCAATGATGCAAAGTAGGTTGAATGCTGCGCTGCCTGCAAGGTGCGGAGAAGCACTACTGCCACTTCCAGGAATGATGCAAAGTTAATGTATAGTAGCTGCCCACTACAAGTCAGAATTTGCTGGTGGCGGGGCAGCAGCAGCAGCAGCAGCAG